AAAAAAAAAAGGCAAAAGATACCTAAGGAATGCAACAGCTGAGACTGACCTCTGGCGCACACGTGATCACACACTTGGACAGACAGACAGACAGACAGACAGACACACACATTAAGGCATGGGCAGAGAGGCTCCAGAATGCACACTTTCACTGGCTGTAGCCTAACTTCTAGGCAACTTCACAGAGAAGGACAGGATGGATTCAGGATGGATTCACGTCTACTGCTCCCCGCTTCCACATTTGATGCTAATCATCATGCTCTCGATGCTTCTACTCAAATCACACGGGAGACACTTGTATTCCTAGTCTTTTCCTCTCCTCTTTCCTGAACCCCTCAAGTAATGCCAGCTCCCTCGACTTCTGGGAGCGACACAGTCATCTTGTCTCGCTCTGAAGTAGAGATTTGGTTTGTTTTTGGAGGCGGAGTCTCCCCAGCAGAAGACACCTTTGAGGCGCCGCAGTCTGGGAAGGCGGTTGACAGGGAGTACTCACGTGCTGTTTGATAGCGGCCGCGTCAGACACTGTCCAGTGATGCTTCTTCTTGAATAGCTGGTCAATGGCTAGGATGTCATCTGAATAGCCTGAGGCAGACTTGATAGGTTTTACAGCCGCAGCCTTTATGGACATTAAAAATTAAAAAAAAGGATCAGTAAAACAGTTCAGGTTGAATTATATAACAAAGACATAATTATACACATAATTATATGTGTAAAATGCCACAGTGAAACCCATTACTATGTATGCTAACTTTAGACATTAATTATAAAAAGACATAATTGAGGAGGGGGGAAGTATGAATATGAAGTTGGGCATAATGGGACATACTTGTAACACCAGCCCTTGGGAGACTACAGCAAGAAAACCGGTATGAGTTCCAGGCCAGCCTGGGCTACAGTGTGACAGTGTTTTACAAAAACAAAACCAGATTTTTTTTTTTCTTTCCTTCTTCTTTTTTGTTTCTTGAGACAGGGTTTCTCTGTGTAGCCCTGGCTGTCCTGGAACTAACTCACTCTGTAGACCAGGCTGTCCTCCAACTCACAGAGATCCTCCTGCCTCTGCCTCCTGAGAGCTGGGATTAGAGGCGTGCACCACCACCTCTGGGTCAGAATTTTTTTATGGGAGGATTTGTATGTGATTTATAAGGCTGTCACTAAGGCATTTGTCAGTTGCACTAGCACACTTAGCATGGTACATGTGTGAACGGGCATTTAGTAGATCCACTGTAGTAATAATAATAATAATAAAGCTGCTTATAAGACAAACACTGATGGATGTTTCACGTGCGGAGTGGATAAGGAGGGCAGAGAGGAGCCAACTCCATTCCGACCCAGACTTCCCACGCTGTTAGGAAGGTGCCCTCCACAGGGTGCAACCTCTGTTGTTTCCAGACTTCTGGAAGGAAGCTGCATTTGTTTGTCCTGTTGCTGGGCTGCTGAACGATGCTAGGGGAAGTTAGGTAAACATACTGCTCACTTTCTTTGGACATGCTTACTGTCTCATCTCCAGACCCTCCTCGCTGCTACTTGGCATTCTTAGGCTCTTGTTCACTGTTAACATTCCAAGTGGCTGCTGGAAAGCCAGACTTCAAACTCCATCAGTTACTGATCTGCTCTCTCTAAAGCTATCTAGCACGAATGTTCTTAACTCTTCCCCCCATTGTGAGATTTCTCTATCCTTTAATCCATCATTTTTTCCTCCCAGGTGAGTCTTTTGTGATTTCTAAGGCCAAATGTCTCCCCGTGTTCTTTATGTAATCTGTTCTGAGATCTCTCTACATTAATTGATATTAATTGATTGATTGTGTGATGCCTGTGTGTCTGTGCATGGCACTCATGCAGAGGCCAGAGGACTTTATATTGTTAGTTCTCTCCATTCCTCACATAGGTTCTGGGAACTGAACTCAGGGCGTCAAGCTTACGCAGTAAGTGCATTTACCACGGGGCCGTCTTGCCATCTCTCAAAACGTTTTTGTTTTTATGTATGAACTATGTAGCTCAGGACTTAGATATGTTTCTATTTGTGTCTTGCAGACTTCCTAAGGTTGAAACTGATTTTTTAGGGTAATGCACAGCTTGGAGACTGCATCCAGTGTGGGAACTGTGAATCCCAGCAGCATACCCATGTTTTCTCAAACCTCAGGTTTCACATTTTCAAGGAATACTTTCTTCTCCATTGACAGCTCCTACCGGGTTGAACTTGGGCCTTGTGCTGAGCAGTATTTACCTTTCTTCTTAGATTGATATTTTTTGTAGAATTTTTAGATTTAAAATTAAATCTAAATCTTTTTTTTTTTTTTTAGATTTAACTCTAGGCATCCACATCTGATCCTGAATTGTCAGGCCAACCCCTGTCCCTAGCTATCAGGTCTAAGTACCTCCATGTGACCTTGGTGCCTCTCTTTTCTGTCTATCCCAAGGGTCATATTATGAGCTTGGTGTTCTGGCTGTAGGGTCTCTCTTGCTTTTTTTTTTTTTTTTTTCCCCAAGGGAAGCTCTCGCTATGTAGACCAGTCTGGTCTTGAACTCACAAAGATCTGCCTGGCTGTCTTGCTTTTTGAAACATGGGAATTTTGCTTGCATTTGAGGATTTTTGAATATTTGTCATTTTATTCAGCATTTTTTTGTTATTGTTCTTTTTGTATTTTTTTTTTGAGACAGGGTTTCTCTGTGTAGTTCTGTGTAGCTGAATTGTAAAAAGTTTTATTAATAAAAACAAACCCAGAGCCAGGTATTGGGGTGAACACTGAATGATCAGAGAAACAGAACAGAAACACATTCAACTTCACCTTGCCAATTCTTCAGCTGATCTTGTTTCCTCAGACTGAAAGCCTCTGAATCCTCATCTGAATGGATCTAGGCTGAACTGCAGCTAAAAGCTAAAAGCTTAACCCACCTAGTTCCTGGTCCTCATGCCTTATATACCTTTCTGCTTCCTGCCATCACTTCCTGAGATTAAAGGCGTGTGTCACCATGCCTGGCTGTTTCTAGTGTGGCTTTGAACTCACAGAGATCCAGATGGATCTCTGCCTCTGGAATGCTAGGATTAAGGGTTTGTGTGTGCCACCATTTTCTAGCCTCTATGTCTGTCTAGTGGCTGTTCTATGTGGTGATATTTTATTTGTACTGAAATGTGATTTTATTTGTATGCTAATAAATATAGTTGCCTGGGGGTCAGAGCTAATAGCAAGCCATAGCAGAAACCAGGCAGTAGTGGTGCACACCTTTAATCCAGATCACATGACAGACAGATCTCTGTGTGTTCAAGGATACAGCCAGCATGGAGATGTGTGCCTTTAATCTCAATACCAACCATAGAAGACCTGGAGGTCTGTATAGACAGGCAGTGATGAGGAGGTCATGTGGTTGGGTTTACAACCAATGAGAAGGCAGAACAGAAAGTCAATAAAAAGACAGATACACAGGAAGTAGGTCTCTTGCTGAGGGGAAGGACATTAGTGGCAGGAAGGGTAAGAAGGCGATTTTAAGTCTCAGCTCTCAGCTACTGCTCTGACCTCTTAACTCTGCATTTGGCTCTGTGTTTCTTATTTAATAAGATCGTTCATCTACAGTTCTGTTCTCTGACCCCAGATAAGTTTATTAGGGTGTACAATATATTGGGGGACACAATGTCACCATAGTTCTGGCTGTCTGGGAACTCATTCTATAGATCAGGCTGGCTTCAAACTCAAGAGTCTTGCTGCCTCTGCCTCCCAAGTGTGGGGATTAAATGCATGCGCCACCACTGCCCAGCTTTTCATGCAGCATTTTTAAAAAAATGGGGACATACAGAGTTTGTGAGTGGGGTAGGTCACGGGGAGTGTGTTGATAATGTGTATCTGGTTATTTTCATTCTGACACTTAAGTCCTAATTTTTGGTTTCAATTAACATTTGTAAATATGTAGAATGTTGCGTGAGCTATTAATATATTAGCTTAGACACAATACACCATATTATATCTCATGTGGTATATATTTAATGTTCTATATATTTATACATATAAAATGTAAACACATGAAATTATGAAAATGATCTAGTTGTATCTGTGAGTATGTAGGCCAGAGGTTGACTTCAGGTATCCTTCTCTATCTATCTTCGCTGTATTTTTTAAGACAGGTTCTTTCACTGGACTAGGACTCACTGTTTTCAGCTAGCCTGGCTGGCTCCAGGGTCTACTTGTCTTCCAGGTGGTTATAGGAATGTGCCACCAGGACAGCTTTTACCTGGGTGTTGGGGATCTGGACTCAGCTCCTCATGTTTGTACAGCAAGAGCACTTTACCCACTGAACTATCTCCACAGCTATATATATATATATATTATATACATCAACACGCATCAATATTATATCTATTATATACATTAATATATCAATATTATATCTATTAATAGGCACTTGTGTGACAGTAGATATAGCACATTATCATATTTATAAATGTAGATATAGATTATAATGCACTATATTTTTTTTACATATAATAAATGTGAATATGATACCTGAGGTATAACAATAGATGGCAACATATGTTATAGAAAAATTAGGAAAAGGGATGGGCTGTTATTTTATTAAATATATTTTAAAAATTATGTTTAATTGTGTGTGTGGTTGTGTGTGGGATGACATATCTCTAACAGGCTTGAGGGCCAGCAGGCCCAAACAAGTAAAAAGATACTTCCTGAGAGCCAACCTGGGTCTGCCTAAGGACCTTAGCAACAGCAGCTGAGACATGATCTGGAGATGACCTGGACCAATGAGAGGCAGCCATGTCATATCAACAGATGAATATTCATCAGACTTCCCCCCAGGGTGGGGTGGAGGGTATATAAGGCTTGCCTCTTCCTGAATAAACTGAGCTTGTTGTTTCGACATTCTCCCAGAGTCTGTGTTATTGACTCTGCGCCTACTTGGTCCCCTCCCCCAAAGGGAACAACAGCACAGGACCCTGCTACAGTTATGTACACTTGAGTGCAGATGTCTGTGGAGTTCAGAGGCATCAGATCCCCGGGAGCTGGAATTATAGACAGTTATGAGCCACCCAATATAGGTGATGGGAACCAAAGTTGGGTCCTCTGTAAAAGTAGCATTAAGAAATGAGTATGGGCCGGGCGGTGGTGTTGCCTGGTCTACAGAGTGAGACCCAGGACAGGCACCAAAACTACACAGAGAAACCATGTCCCAAAAATCAAAACAAAACAAAACAAAAGAGGAGTATGGCCTTTAATTCCAGCACTCAGAAGGCAGAGGCAGGGCAAATCTCTTGTAAGTTTGAAGTCAGTCTGGTCTACGAAGTGAGTTCCATACTGTTACACAGAGAAACTCTGTCTCAAAAAAACAAAGAGTATGAGCTGGGTGGTAATGGACATGCCTTTAATCCCAGCAGTCGGGAGGCAGAAGCAGGTGGATCTCTGTGAGTTCAAGGCCAGCCCGGTCAACAAAGTGATTTCCAGGACAGCCAGGGCTGTTACACAGAGAAACCCTGTCTCAAAAAATCAAAACAAATAAACAAACAAAAAACAGAGTATGACTGAACAATAAGTGCTCTTAACTACTGAATCACTTCTCCAGACTCTAAACTATATATTTAATAGATAATTTACTGTTGGATGTGGTGGTACAGGCTTATAAATCCTAGCACTTGGGAGGCTGAGGTAGGAGAATCATTGCAAATTGAAAGCCTGCCTAGGATACAGTATGAGATCCTATCTCAAAAATCCAAAGTAAACTGATTGTGGTAGAAGTTCATAATATAAAATGACCAAAATGGTAGACGTTAATAACTTAAAATGACTATTTGAAGTGAACATTTGAGTGGCATTCATTGTGTTGACTTGTGGGAAACTCCTGGAATGACAGTTGCAAGAAGACTCACGAGAAGCAAGGAACAGGGCTTTTCAGACACACAGGGAATGGTGTTCAAGCAGAGGAACAGCAGAGTGTGAGGACAAAATGGGTAAGTGTGTGAGGGTCCACTTTGGTGATGTCCACAGAACATTCCGCAGTGATGGAGATGTTCTATATGTTCGAGTGTTTTAATAGGCCATTTGAGCACTTCAATTGTGGGTAGTACAACTGAAGAACTGGATCTGTAATTTTGATGAATTTCAGTTATTGGAAGGTTCAGGTTTATTACTGTTATTATCTGAGGCGTGGGTCTCCCCATATTGTGCAAGTCGTCTATGATCTCTTTGCCTCAGTTTCCTGGGTGATGGGATTATAGGCATGCACTACCATGCCTGGCAGACTCTTAGGGTTAAGTCATTCAGGACCTTGTAAGTAATCATGAAGATTATCTTTTTTTCCCTGAGTTATCTGAAAAGCTCAACTGGAGGATTTCAAGTCGATTTGAACAGAGCTGTTTTGGCTACTATTTGTATACTGAGAACATATAAAGAAGGGAAAAAGTAAAAGCAAGTAGATTACTTAGGAAGTCACTGATGCCACTGCTGCTAATATGACAGACGATCTCTGATGAGAGACAATCTGTGATGAGGACAATCTAGCATATAATGGGCACTCAGTAAATAAACTGATTGTATTGTTTTCTTTTATCCAAAGGGCATGGGGTGGAGTTCAATGGTAAAGTGCATAGTTGGTACATGGGTTCCATCCCCCATGTAAAACCAAACACAAACAAGTATATTGAGTTTTCTGTGAGCCAGGCTTGGCTTTGTTTATTTATTTATTATGTATAGTGTTCTGTCTGCATATACACCTGCAGGCCAGAAGAGGGCACCAGATCTCATTACGGATGGTTGTGAGCCACCATGTGGTTGCTGGGAATTGAACTCAGGACCTCTGGAAGAATAGCAGTCAATGCTCTTAACCGCTGAGCCATCTCTCCAGCCCTTTTTTTTTTTTTTTTTTTTTTTTTTTTTTTTTTTTTTTTTTGAGACCGGGTCTTATTGTATAGCCTGGCTGGCCTGGAACTATTGTGTACTGTAGGTTGGCCTTGAACTCACCCTCTCAATGCTGATATTATAGGTGTGAACTGCCATGCCTGGACCAGGCTCTATTCCAGGTAAATTTCAGTCCTGTGGCTTATGCTGGAAGGCTTAGAACAAACTTGGGGGTGAGGCTAGACCTTCCTCAGACTGTATGGAAGCATGAGCACACCTGGGCATCCAGAGACTCTGTAATTCAGGACAGTAATGTACAGGCAAACGGACTGGAGGCCACAGAGTGACACAGGGCCAGAAGGGACATCGGGGTCATGGGTGGCAAGGTTCTAGTGAGGGGCAGGCAGGGAGGCCCCTCCATCACAGCATTGCTCCACGGATGTGGGTCTGAGCCTTCCCTCCCAAGATGTCTGGCCAACCTGGAGCTGGCTGATAGTTCAAAACGCAGCTCCGGCTTGAGGTGATGGGAAAGCAATGAAAGTAGATTTGAGACCTTTTAGTGTTCTACTATTTTTTTGGTCTTTGAGACAGGATCTTGCTATATGTATTAAGATAGCTTTCACTTCTTTTGCTTCAGCTCCCTGAGTGCGGGGATTAATAGGCATGTGCCATCACATGCAGTTTGCTGTCCTTTAAGCTTTGGTGGTTTTTTTGTTTTTAGACACAGGGTTTCTTTGTGTAACAGCTCTAGCTGTCCTGGAACTGGCTCTGTAGACCAGGCTGGCCTCAGATTCACAGAGATCCTCCTCCCTCTGCCTCCCAAGTGCTGGGCTTAAAGGTGTGTGCCACCACCACCTGTTTTTGTTTTTTTAAATACAAAAGCTCACTGTAGCTTAAACAGGTGTGAAACTCAATACTTAGCCCAGGCTAGCCTTGAATTCTTTGCTATCTTTTGCTTCAGCCTTCTCCATGTTAGAATTACAGGAATGAACCACCATGTTTAGTTTGTTATTGTTTTTATAGTCTTCATCCCAACCCCAAACCAAGGTTTGTTATCTTCAGTAAATCGAATTATTTTGTTGAAATAGTTATAACTAAGTTCAAGGTCCTTGTTGGCTACACAGCAAGTTTGAGTCAATCTAGGCTACATGAGACCTTGTCTGTAAAAATCCCAGCCCTAAACCAAATAAATACCTCAAAGCAACTGCAATCACCCAAGAGGCTGTCCAATATTTGTAACAAAAACATGCTTTTAGTCTTGAGTTGGGTTCTTACAAGTGGAAGTTTTTTAAATTAGCTAATATGACAGATTAAAACTCACCTGTGCTTTCCAATCTCTTTTATGGAAAAAATAGTCCTCAAAGAAACTCAGTGGCTCCTTTCTCCTTAGCATCTCTAATTTCTGTATGTCTTTGAATGGCCTTCCCATCACCATCCCGTCCACATCGGGGAACAATGGAAAGATAGGTATTTTTGAGTATGGGCTACCTGTAGGGAGATCGCACCCTGAAAAGAGAAAAACAAAAATGACATTATAAATGATGTAAAAATGTCCCGGAATGACAAGCACGCAGAGCCTAATGCGCTTTCGTCTGCTCCCGTGTGGCCCGGGCTCCTCCGCCTCAGTAGCACGCATGCACGTTCCCACCCCACACCCATCCTTCAGGCTGCACTCAGGTGTCAGAGGGCTCAGTCAGGGGGACTTCTGCTTCCAAATGGTTTCTGTGGGACGGAGAGCAGTTACTCGAAGAGCCCCGGGCCCTGCTCTTGGCCTCTGGGGTTTATTTCTGACCAGCTGCAGGGAAGCCAGTCTGTAACCGGGGAGAGGGAAAACGGCTTACGCTTGAGCGCTTCAAGAAACTTATACAGATCCCTTTCTTTCATGATGGAGATCCTGGCCGAGTTGGCAAAGGCAGCCGTGCTTGAGCGCGGAGGAGTGCATATGTCTGCCCTAAAGCCCCTTCTAGGACTCCACAGTCTTTCCACGTTGCTTTCCTGGAATTTTTTTCGGAAATAGCTTAAAGAGAAAATACATGTAATTCAGAAATGGAATAAAGAATTGTTAGGACAAAAAGAAAATCAAACTGCAAGCGATAGATGTTGATTATGTTTATTTTAAATCTATTCAAAACTTATTAGCATATGTGAATCATACATGATAATAATAGGTGTCATTATGGCATTTTTGTACGTTACATGCATTTTTATTAGATTCACTCCACGACCCTCTCCTTTCCCCTCTGGCTCTCCTTTCTCTTTCCACTTTAGTCTCTGTTCTGTCTTCCTTTGCATTCTCTTTCTCTCTCTCTCCACTTCCTCCCTATCTTCTTTTGTATCCTCATTTTCTCTCTCTTCTCCCCTCCCTCCCCTCATCTTTACCTTCCCCTCTCTTTCTTTCTGGCTTAAAAACTCAATGTGTATTTTTAGGGTTGCTTACAGGGTCCTGGGCAAAGAATTCTTTACAAGAGTGCGGTCTCCCTTCTATATACAGTGTTCTGCCTGATTATACACCTGCATGCCAGAAGAGGGCACCAGATCTCATTACAGATGGTTGTGAGCCACCATGTGGTTGCTGGGAATTGAACTCAGGTCCTCTGGAAGAGCAGCCAGTGCTCTTAACCTCTGAGCCGTCTCTCCAGCCCTGTATTGGGTTTTGAAATGCAGTTTTTTTCTTTTTTGAGACAGGGTCTCACATTGTAGCCTAGGCTGGCCCTGGACTCATGGTGTCCTTTCTGCTTTAGACTCCAGAGTGGTGGGATCACAGCCCGAGCCCATTTGCCTGCTTAGAAAGTTATGTTTATTTGTATCATTTGAATGTTTTGTATGTTCTGGGACCAAACCCAAGCCTTTGTGCGTGTGAGGTAAGTATTCTACCACTCAGCTACACAACTATCCCTATTTCCTCTTTTTAATTTCTTTTAGAAAGCTTATGACTAGTTTTCCCAGTGTGGGGGACTGAACTCGGGACATGTGCATGCCAGCCTCCAGATGCTGAGCTGCAGCCTCAGCTGTCATTTCCTCTTGCTAAACCGATTCCTTTACCATTTATGTAAGGACCATCTTGGTCTCTTTTTATAATTTTTGACATTGATACCTTTCTTATTTTTTTTTTTTTTTTGTGTTTTGTTTTTCGAGACAGGGTTTCTTTGTGTAACAGCCCTGACTGTCCTGGAACTCGCTTTGTAGGCCAGGCTGGCCTTGAACTCACGGAGATCCACTTGCCTTTGTCTCCCAAGTGCCTGGTTATCTTGTATTTTGATACCCTGGAGATGATTTTTTTCACTGTATTTAGTAAGGGTCTCATGGCTTCCTGGATCTTCCCAGGATTTGGAAATTTTTCAGCAGTTAAAGAACCACCTCATAAGATAACCAAATAAACAACGACCACAATCCACTTCAATAAAAAGAGCAGTGTTAGCGAAGGTGTCCTGTCCACTTAGGAGGGGTGAGAGGGGTACAAGAGGACATGTTAGCAGAGATCACTGTGCTAACATCAGCTCTTCCCTCCTGGGCAAGCACCTGATCTGCCTGCCGGACTCTATTAAGTAACATGCAAATCTTCTTTCACTGTGCTACATAACTCTCTAAGTGCTGGGCTGTGTTGTTCTGTGTCGTCCCACAACTGCCCTTTAGGGCAGGGTTGCGATCACCACTTGGATTTTGTAGGTGAGGAATGGAAGACTGAGAAGTAAAGAAAAGGGCTAGCCTGTGCACCAGCAGCTCTGCCTTGGGTTAGGAATGGCTAGCTCGTGTGTGTGTGTGTGTGTGTGTGTGTGTGTGTGTGTGTGTGTGTGTGTATGTGTGTGTGTGTGTGTGTTTCTTTATGTCTTATGCCCACATGGAGCATCAGCACAGAGTGAGCTCAGTCTTATCATTTCAGAACCACGAGAGAGTGTCATGGCACATAGCCTTTTGCCCTGACCCTTTCTTCTGTTTTGGATTGAACTCTGTAGAGCAGGATGCTGGGACATCCCAGTAAGCCGCCTTCCCCTGTTCCATTGCCACTTACCTTACTAGCTCTATTATATCCTTTCTGTGCAGGGCTGACGTCTCTACAAGTTTTGATAGGATTTCAAATAATAAGATCCCTGGGTTGTTAGCTAAATCTAAACACAGTTTCTTTTCTGGAACTATAGAGGAAACAGAAAAGAGAAATTTCAAAATGTCTTCTAAGCAAGCTATCTATTAAAAATTTGCTGAGAATTTATAACAACATTAAATTAGGGACTAGAAATATGGTAAAACATTAAAAATGTTTTATTTGAAGAAAGGTCATTTTGATTACTGACAGAATAATCATAGTTCAATGACATCTAAGTAAATATGGTAATACTTTTAACATCTGCATGCATACTATGTTAAAGACTATCGTCTTGTTCTTCTATGAAAGGAAGTTTGTAGAGAAAATCCCTAGTTTGTAGAGAAACTCTCATTTGTCACAGTGTTTATCTTCAGACAGTCTACAGATTAAGCATGGGTATGTTTTCAAAGCTGCTTGTGGGGTTTGGAATCTGGAATCCTAGAGCATGTGATATGAATAGTGGTTGGATTTTCCAAGGCAGCCTGTTAAGTTCAGAAACAGCATGAGAGCCTGATGGCAGCTTCGAGTTTGCACAGATTGATGGGCACAGGCAAGAGAGCATGCTCTGTAACCTCCCAGTCTCTCACTGAGGGCTGAGGCTTCATCAGGGTGTAGAAACAGTAAGTCATTCATGCTCTAGAAAACTATTTTTTTTTTTTAAAAAAAGGAATACTTTTGGTAGTAGTACATGCACTTGGTTAAGAACTAAAACACTATAAAGGGAAAACAAGGGTCTGGAGAGATGGCTCAGTGGTTAAGAGCACTGACTACTCTTCCAGAGGACCTAGGTTTGATTCCCAGCACTCACATGGCAGTTCACAACTGTCTGTAATTCTAGTTCCAGGGGATCTAGACATACAAGATATCTATGCACATAAAAGAAAAATAAATTAAAAGAAGGAAAACTAAATTTCCTGCACCCACCACTTCCTTAGTGTTCTCATTAGAGACAAGAACACTGTCTCCCAGGTGGCCAGGAGCTGCTTGATGTATTTAAATTGCAATTCTGATATTATCAGTTTGTTTGATATTATTTTGTAGGAAAAGTACAAAGAAAATTCACACCCTAGACTCTACCTTCTAGATTTGTCTCCTGACTGGAGGCCTAAGGGATAGTGTTTTCTGTGCAGTGGGCAGGGCTGCCGGTTGTCATCTACTCACCCACAGCCTTGAGGAAGAGTTTCTTATCTGTCAGCACCTCTATAAAGTCTGAGAAGTTGATCTTACCGTCTCCTGCAACAGGAAGCTGAGCTCAGAGCAAGCAGATTGCTAAAGGTTTATATAAATACACAGTTTGTATATAAAGTTGAGGGAAAGAGAGAGAGACGAGAGAGAGAGAGAGAGAGAGAGAGAGAGAGAGAGAGAGAGAGA